GGACACCCCCTCACCTGCTGTCTCTGTGGTGGGGACACCCCTCACCTGCTGTCTCTGTGGTGGGGACACCCCCTCACCTGCTGTCTCTGTGGTGCAAACACCCCCTCACCTGCTGTCTGTGGTGGGGACACATCCTCCCCTGGGCTTGTCTGTGTGGTCTGGGCTCCTTCTCCCTGGGCCTGTCTTCATGCGGGTCCCGGAAGGAAGGGAAGCCACTTGCTTCAGAGCCAGAAGTTCACGTGCATGGCTTCCCAGCCACACTTTGGGCCTCTGTGAACTTCTTCCATTTGCAGCAGAGTTACCGAGCTCCCAGCTGCCCTGGCGAGCACTCCAGGTTCCCACAGCAGCCCCCACAAAGTCAGGTTTGTGTCCTGTGCCACATGAGTCATGGAGAGTGGTAGGAAAAGAGCCTCCAGCAAGCAGAGCCGACGGATGGAGGAGGCAGCTTCCTTCTTCCCAGGCTGTGGGACCCCACCATTGTCTGACCCACTGCCACGGCCTCCTGGACATTACAGAAGGGCTCAGCTCGGGGTGGGGGGTCAGCATGTCCCCTGTGCCTGCCTCGAGTGTGGAACCGGCAGACCTGTGTGGAAGAGCTGCCTTTCTTGCCTTTCCCATCTCCCGGTGCCTGGACATCCCAGGCACATCCCATTGTCCAGAACTCCCGCCCCTTTGCTCCCGGAGCTCCAGCATCGCCCCCTTTCTTTGCTGGTGCCTGAAACAATCACGGCCACAGATCCCAGCTGAGGAACCAGCTTGCCCCGGTGCGCCTGGCCTGGCTGCTTCTGCTCTTCCAGCACATGCCCCTGCCAGCCCGGGCAGGGAGTGGGGAGGTGGTGGCGGAGGAGACCCCTTGGAAGGGTACTCACTTTCACATCACGCCACTTCCCCACCTAGGAGAGAGCCTCAAAAAGGCCCTTTTTTTGTCAAGAAAGAGGCTGGTCAGTGTCCCATTGGCCCCACAAGGCTGCGCATCTAACCTTCTTCTCACGCAGGGTGTGGGGAGAGCAGCCCCAGGCTCACCGGGCCCTGGGCCCTGCAGTGGATGATCTGGGGACACCTTCTCACCTGCTGGAGCCCTGAAAAGCCAGGCGCCCAGAGTGTCCCAGCGTCGGCGGCCCAGGCGCTTCCGGAAACCCTGCAGGCAGCGGCTCGCCCCAGTCAGCTGCCAAACTCCAGCCACATGCAGACTCTCAGAGCGGACTTTTGCCCCTAGACCACAGTCCAACTCACGCAGGCCACACTGGCCGGGCCACGGTTTCCTGTGCTCTCTGGCACAGACCACGGCCCCCGAGGTCTGCAGCGCACTGAGCTGTCACCTGCTGCCAACTCCCCAGACTGGAAGAAACCCTGGAGAGCCCAGAGGCACAACAAAGAAACCCAGTCCCTCATCTTTCAGTTTCTTCTCCTTGCATTTCCAGTGAAGGGAGGGAAAGGAAGGGGAGCCCGGGAGCCATGCAAGGGGGAAGGACGGGGGGAGACCCAGATTTCCAGCGTCTACCATGGAACGCCGAGTGCAGAGGGTCAGCAGGTCCCATCCCCGCTGAGGGCGTGACCCACCAGGGCTTTCTTCTGGTCTAGGGAGAGGGGAGGTATATGTCGGGGTTGGGTTTTCGTCCAGGTCACGGAGGAAAGACAGCTGTTCTGCCTGGACTAAACAAAGCGGTGTTGGGCAAGCATGCAGAGGTGAGAGCGGCCGGAATCGAGGGTGGCAGCGCCCCAGGTAACAGGGCCGAGCCTGATGGTGGCACCTCCAGGGCCTGTTCCTACCTCGCAGGCGCTCCGGGCCCACATGGGAGAATGACAGCTCACACCGACGGTGCGCTTAGTCAGCGTCCCTCCTCCTCAAAGCCTGGCAGACGCTGACCCGCCACCCGCAAGCCCACCACTGCGCTGTCCTCCAGAGCCGGCCCTCAGGAAGTTCCAATACCCTGAGCTGTTGAGACCCCTCGGAGCCCCTTTGGTGGAGGGTGCTTTTGAGGCTGCCAGGGTGAGTGTGAGCTCCCAGGCCCTGGTGGCATTTGCAACGGATGGCACCAGTCTCCGTCCCTAGGTCTTGAAGGCAGGGGAGGGAGGCTACTTTGACATCACTCAGCATAAGCAATCCGGCCCACTGATTTCTATCTGAGACACCAGAGATCCCTCGGTTAGGGAGAGGGAAAGAGCAGACAGCTTCAGGCAGCCTGACGTGAGGGTCCGCTGCAGCCTGGGGCCCAGGCAGGTCCCCCACTGATGAGCCAAGGAGCCAGCTGATGCCCATCCACATCCATCATGCCCAGGCATCACCCTCAGCCCCCCTGGAGTAACCGTTCCTGACCTCAGAAGCCCGATGTGGCCACGGCTGCCCCATTTCTCCAGGTGAGGGGGCACATCACTGCCATGGCATTGATGCTGGATGGCCACGGTGCTCTCTGCTGGTGAAGCACATCCCTGGGACCCCCGGCATGCCTGTGGTGGGGGGTTCCGGTCAGAAAGCAAGTCCCTGGGCGGCTGATGGAGCAGCCTGGGGTTTCATTCATTCGTTCAACCATTCATTCATTCATTTCTGGCTTGGATGCCCCACTCATCAGAGCTGTCAGCCTTTCATCCACACTTCCCGAGGATTGGTTCCGGGCTCTGCTGGCGGCTCCAGGTCAGCTGCATTGACTGTGATGCCTCCTGGGCCTCTGGCGTCTTTGGGAGCCCGTCTCCTCTCCCATCATCATCCCCCACAGGGACCTTGAGGGGACAGGCTCCTTGAAGCTGGTACTTCCCTTACTGTCCACGCTGTCACCAGCTCCCCAGAGGAAACCATGAAAGGAACTGCCCATGCTTGCAAAGAAGGGCACGTGGCCTTCTAAACCCTTTGGTCATCTTCCAAGCCCTTTTGGCCCAAAGAGGGCTGCAGGGGAGCGTGTGACTGGCAGAGCTGCCTCCTGCTGGCCGCCATCCAGGGCAGACCCACAGTGCAAGGCGCAGCCCCTCCAGAGACTGTGCCCTGTGGTGGAGGTGTCCCTGGGAGCCTCCCGGGCTTCTTTCCTGCATCTGCCCTCTTGAGCGTAAGTGGCGGGCCCCAGGTGAGGGACTCTGTGCAGCTGGAGGCCAAGGAGAGGCCTGCACCTGCTTCTGGTAGAAGGAGGGGAGGCCTCCTGTCTGCACAAACCGACATTGCAAATCGCTGGCCAGAGGCGGCACGTGTTTGCTGAGTTTCTTGTGCCCGGACCAGGCAACTCCCGAGTCTCTGGTGAGGTCTGGGGCTGAACGAAAGGGTTTCAGCTGCTCCCATGGAGTATTTAAACTTTGCTCCCAGCAATCGGAAGGCCAATGAGACCAGGAGAGAAAATGTCAAGGTAACAGGGGTCTTCCAGAACTGCGGTGTGATTTGGCTGGGAGATGCTGAGAGCCGTTTTCTTCTTTCCGCTGCTCTTGCTTGCTCTTGGAATGGGCACAGTGCAGCAGTCCGTGGGAAGCTACTTCCGATACGCAGAGACACCCATGAGATGGACGTGCCAGTGGAGGAAGAGCTCACACACACCTGACGCTCGCTGAGGAGAAAGTGGATTGGATTAAACCAAGCCTGGGCCTAAAAATGCTAAACACAGCAGACCAAAGGTCTCTAAGGTTTAAATAACAAAAAAATGACACAAAATTAGATAAGGGCAATGCCCCTTGAAATTTCTGGTTCATTCTGGGGGTTCCAGCCCAACACTTATGCTTTTCTCAACAAGAGCCAGGACACGTCAGGGTCCCGCTGCCCCCAGGCTGGGCCGGGAGTCCAGGCTGGGCACCCTCCGTCCGCCCCACACCTTCTCATAAACGTGTTTCCTGTGACAGCGCGGGACCAGCACAGGCAGGCAGCAGCTACAGGGTCTCTGCAGAGCTGGGCACTGATTCAAACAGAGAAGCCAAGAAACTCAGACAGCAAAGGAGGAGGAGAAACAGAAACCATCGAGGAGAACTTGTTTTCAAGGAGAGTAGGGGAAGCTTCGGTGTTATTTCTCATCAAATGAGTCTCATAAATTAAATTTGAAACAGAGTCATAATAAAGATTTCTAAAGTAAAATCTGCCTCTGGTGGCGCCAGGGATGGCCTTGGGCAAGGGGGAGTATCGGTGCTGTGTCAGTGAAGATGCCATAGCGAGACGCCGGACTGCCGCTCAGCGGCAGAGATGCCCCCTGCAGACAGACGCCTGGCGCCCCCCGCGGTGCCTGCGAAACTCAGACAACGTTCACCCGGTGGCTCTGCCATCCTTGCAGTGCCGTTTCCATGGCAACTCCAGGGATGCGTGCAGGCCCGGGCATCTGGAAATGGGTGTCCAAAGTCACGTGCAACAGCCAGCAGGCTCAACAACAGGAAGGCAGAGCGCCACAGTGACAACAGCAACAACCACAATAACAAGAGCGGCAGAGCCGAGTGCCGTCCCCGGGTGCCCGGTGCCAAGCTGTGCTGGACAGCATCTCACTCGTGGAGGAGCCTGTCCTGCAGAGCAGGACGTGGGGGCTGGCCAGTTGTGTAACTTGCAAAGTCCCCCAGCCAGAAGGACACGAAGCCAGGACTCCAGCCCGCGATGAGCTGCTACAAGGTCCACAGTCCCAGCCCCTAGGCCAGAAGTTCCCAACTTCCACCAGGACCACCTAGGAGCTGTTTGAAATGCAGGCTCCCGGGCCCCATCCCCACAGCTTTGACTCTGCACGTCAGAAGTGGAGCCATGAGCCTGCATTTCGACAGACCCCCCAGATCATCTGAGAATGGTGGG